ACTTATCAAAATCAAACGCTCTTAAGTACTCATCCCCAAATCATTAGTTTTTTTAGAATACTTTCAAAAACTCCCTAAAAGTTCTCTTTAGCATGCCCTTGGAATTACGTCCAATAATCAATGAAATTAATGTCGTGGAAAACTGAAGAACTTGACAGAAACTCTTTGAATTCGCCTCTTTGCCTTATCGCCGTTTTCGCCAACCCTTCCCTGCGTTCTTGTACCTGTGCCTTTATCATGGGGCAAACAGATAAACCGAAATAAGATAAATCAGTGCCAACATTTCAAAGGGGCGTAATTGCTTTTGTTAACAATGGCTTTAGCCATCGATTTCTCGCAAATAAAAGCTCACTCATCTAAATTAACAATGCTAGCTGGTAGAAGAAACATTCCTCTACCTGTTGGTGTAGTTAATTTTTATGAGTGAGCTTTTATTTGCGAGAAATCGACGGCTAAAGCCATTGTTTACAAATGCAATTACGCCCCTTTGAAATGTTGGCACTGAAATCATGAGAATTGTATGGAATTATCAAGGTAATTCAAACAATCAGGGTGACCACTAGGGTGGTTCAAAACATCGATTTAGCTCCACCCCGCTCAATCGATTCTAAATCAGGTCCTGATTTGAGCTCATTTGGTTGCAACGTTATACTGCACTGGGGGTTTTAAAGTTTATATGGGAATTACAATTGGAAAAGTGAACTTTTTGTTCTGATCATCCTAGCATTTACCATAATGATCTAAGGGTAAGCTTGCGATTTGTTCTTATGTAACATTTAATCAACTACAACTTTGCTGAAGACTACTTAATTTTATTTTATTAATTGATTATTAATTTATTTCGAAACCGATAATTTTTGATATGATCAATCAATTGTTTTCAGGGCAATACATGGTATGACATAGTAGCCTGGATTTTTTGCGTCATTCTTCGCGCCAAGTACACCAATGTTGCCTGCTGAGCAGTTGATGGAACATGTCAGAAGAATATGATCTTCCTAATGTATTAATAACTAATTATCCAGAAGTTCAATTAAAAAGTGGTCTTGAGCATAGTTATAGCTGAGAAAAAATCCTATAAGTACGAAAACAAGTACATCCATTAATCATCATGGTGAAATATTAGGACGAGGTGAACAAAAAGTCCTTTTTCCCAAAGTAATTTCCATCGAAGTGCTAGTGCAGTATGAGATGGTAAATAAATGAGCTCAAACAGCGGTGCCGGTGGTGTAGTGGTAAGCGTGATTATCTCTCACCCCAGCAGGCCTGGGTTCAATCCCAGTCAGTGTCGGCGTCATCGGGATGTTCTGAGGCATAACATCTCTGATCACGCCTTGAAGGGAAGTTCAAAACAAGATCGACGGAAAACAAATCAAGGAAAAGAAAAGTAAAAAGCAGGGACCAGATACTTTTTCAAACTTCAGAAAATCTGTGATAAGCCTGACAATTTCGAGATCACAGGCAAGAGAAAAAATTAAGTTTTATATGGACAAATTTAGAAGATAGTAGACTTGCATATTTAGATCACGGAGTTGAACAAAATCAAAATATTAATGATTTCTTGAACACTAACTAACCACTTCATTCGAGCAGTTAAAATGGCGTTTACTACCACTCGAACTTTGAAATAAATCAATATTTTGAGATTAAAAATAGTCAAAATTCGCTTAGAGATGAACTAGCCTTCGGCTAAAAATCTCTCAAATAAAGATTAAAAAAAAAGTCAAAATTCGTTTCATAAAAAATAGTAATTTTGTATAGATTAAAAAAAAAGTTAAAATTCGTTTCATAAAAAATAGTAATTATGAAATCGCTGATAGAAAGTCACGCCGAAACTGCTTGACAAAATTGTCCATTGGATTGTTAACGTTCCCCTCTTTTCGCAACTCTTCTTGTCAGACTGATACATGCTGAGTTTTAAATGATCTTTCACATATGTGTTGCCAAATCAAGCTGAGATTTAATGTGATTTTTAAAATTCAAATTCTTTACTCTCAACATTGGTCGTAAAACGATACTTTAGTGACTGAGTTTTAAGAAATAGTGACTTTTGTTACTTTTTGGTGAAAAAAAATGAAAAATGAATTTTAGTCTTGAAAATAATGACCTAAAAAGTGACCTGCTACCAGCCCGGTAATATTATCTATATTTTGCGATTTGAGGTTTCAAAAATGTTCAAAACTTAACAAAATACTCAATAAGTAATCAGGAAGAACGATAGCATCATCATAGCCTATTGATTTGAATACCATAAGTTTGTTAATTTTCTTTAATGTTAGTACTTTGACTATATGTTTTTAGTATTACTTCTACGTGAAGTCAACGATTTACATAGTTGAAGATGCTAATTTCAAATAACAGACTGTAGTGGTAATTTTTATACGATAGATGGAGTAGATGAAAGCATAGAGTTGATAGTTCCGTTAGAGTACGGCAGTATGAAGATTGTATATAGATATTAGACAAGCGAGCTAGGACAACTTTTAAGGAAGGTACAAATCGGTTTTTTCATCTCTCTTTACCAAACTCCCCCTTTGGAGAGGGATGGTGAGGGGTGTCCCCCCCCCCCCCCCGCCACCACTGGCAAAAAGAGATGAAAACCGACCCGCTCATGTACCAACTGTGTGTTTGAAACAGTTCTACCGATTTTTTACCGCACTTCAGTTGTTATTTGAAGGAAGGCATCCAGTCGTAGGTTTTGGAAATTGCAACTATTGTTTACCCCTACCACGATATGTGCTCCTGTCATCGTCGACTTGACGATCTCGAGGGGACACGGGTGGGGTAATATCTATATACAATCTTCACACTGCCGTACTCTAACGGAACTATCAACTCTATGCTTTCATCTACTCCATCTATCGTATAAAAATTACCACTACAGTCTGTTATTTGAAATTAGCATCTTCAACTATGTAAATCGTTGACTTCACGTAGAAGCAATACTAAAAACATATAGTCAAAGTACATAACTCTGGATGGGAGCATACCATCAATTACTGTCAATGGTCGAAAGGTACAGTAGCAGCACCTACCCCACCCGTGTCCCCTCGAGATCGTCAAGTCGACGATGACAGGAGCACATATCGTGGTAGGGGTAAACAATAGTTGCAATTTCCAAAACCTACGACTGGATGCCTTCCTTCAAATAACAACTGAAGTGCGGTAAAAAATCGGTAGAACTGTTTCAAACACACAGTTGGTACATGAGCGGGTCGGTTTTCATCTCTTTTTGCCAGTGGTGGCGGGGGGGACACCATCCCTATCCAAAGGGGGAGTTTGGTAAAGAGAGATGAGAAAACCGATTTGTACCTTCCTTAAAAGTTGTCCTAGCTCGCTTGTCTAATATCTATATACAATCTTCACACTGCCGTACTCTAACGGAACTATCAACTCTATGCTTTCATCTGCTCCATCTATCGTATAAAAATTACCACTACAGTCTGTTATTTGAAATTAGCATCTTCAACTATTTAATGTTAGAATTAATTTCAATGTTTACTTTTATGTGGTCAATTTGCCCCCGAATTACGTTATTGAAAATTAGAGTTGTTTTTATTCTCTATGTTTCTTTTTTTGCTTTGTTTTTTTTTCGTAGATCTTGTTTTCCGTGCTGAGAACCGATGCTACCGACGCCAGGGAGGCAGCTCCCACACCTGGACCCTACCTATCGACCCATCAACTCAAAACCCGGGGACCAACGGCTTTACTTCCGAACTTCTCTATGTTTCAAACTACATACAAACAATACAAATCAGTAAAAAAATAAATAAAAAAATGATTGAAAACATTCATGAAGCCTACATTTAACTTCAATGTAGACATTAATGCTTAAAAATAAATCCCTTCAAGAAGAAAAATACTTTCGATGTTCAGCAAACAAAAAGAACTCAGCCATTCATCAGTTATCGATGTCCTCAATGACCTTAATTTGCAATTAATCAAAGCTAATTTGCTGAAAGAACAATTGGTGACCAAAAAGGTCAGATTTTTTTTTTTCAGACCACCGTATAAAATTAAATCAGAAGTTCAGAACTACACTTTTACTACACGTAAAATGACAATTCTTTGCTCTATTAGAAAAAAAATGCTAAATTAAAAAATACAACGAACATTTGCTCATCATTCCATGGCTAGTGGGCCGCGATAATTGTCCCCTTTACTCCTCAAATCCGGCTCTGTTTGTGGTAGGATATTCCTAAATATGTTATGCTATGTAAACCTAGATACGAACCATGTTGGGTTTTCCAGATGATTATGAACTGTTATGTTTTATTCTTTCGTCTTGTATGATTTTTTTTTCTTTTTTCAATTTAATCTGTGAAGCCTGATGAAAGACCTAACGGAATTATAGTTCGATAGATATGAATTTAATTATATTAATATGACATGCGTATTCAGTTCAAACTAGGTCACAAAAAAAAGACAGCAGGCCAAACTGAGGAGTTATAACTTGTTTGAATATGAATATCTTGAGGCCATTATTCTTGCCAATAATTATTATATTATGTTATAAGATTGTAGTCTGAACAAGATATTATGTTGATGCAAAAATTCTGTTAATTCCATAGTTCATCTCAGAATATAAATGTTGAAGAAGAATATGACGACTGGGAGTATACGGTTAATTAGCAGTAATCTAATATAAATGAGCAATTAGAATTGAAAATCGATTGTAGTCGAAAAATTCAATCCCCAATCAAATCTATCAATTAACTAGTGGAAAACAACACCCTCATCACGAATGAAGTGAACATACGGGCATGACAGATCCCTCACATCATGTGATTGGAAATTTTCACTCTCAGTAAGCAGCCTAGAAAATGACAGCTGCGTCGACGCTCAGGCTAGTCACTGTGACTTCAAAGGAGTAGAAAATCATTTTCCATATATCATATCGTAATTCGTGATACGCAAAAGTTCACTGGATTTTAGCATGGATCAATGCGCTGAGATATACATGCAATTTTTCGCTGCGATCATCATCAATATTCACTCACCTTTTGTCGCCTTCATCTACTATAGGTACCGCCGAAGCTGTGTCCGCAACCGGAGCTGCTGTCGTTGTCGTCGTCGTCGCTGTTGCTGCAGAATTCGGGGGAGTTGGCACCTCCTCATCCTGTGGCTCGCCTTTGGCAGCTCCAATCCACGAGCTGACTTGATTAGTTAATCCAGAAAACATATTCACTGCAACGAGGTTTCCTCGTATAGATACTCAAACTCTTCTTAACTTTTCAAGTCCTAATTATCTTTCTTCAATTACTTTGCTACACAGCAAGAAAAAAAATTAATCACGTAACGCGAAAAAAGAGTCAGCCTTTTTTACAGTAAATCAAGTTCTTTCACTATTCACTTGGTTTCACTTCTAACACAGGAAAAGTTCTTGGAAATACCTAAATCAATGTGCCACAATCCGTTTTGCCAATACCAGTTTAATGTGCAAATATTACCAATGCTAACAATTAATTTCTCCTTAATGATCAGAATTTCCAGCAAAGAAAATTTTTTCACTCACAGTGAGTGTCAATTAGGGACAAAGAATTTTTCGTTTTCGAGCTTAGGGAAACCAACATAAGATATAGCGAAAAAGGTTTTAGTTTTACCAGATTTTTACTGCAAGGACTTTTTGGTGCTAGAACGTTTACACCCGAAGGTTCAGGAGATGGAAAAAGGGCTTTCCAGCACTTTAAATTTAAGAGAAAAGTACACCGAATTTCAACTTCCGTCCACCACTTGACACGGCAACCGATCGAATTCCAAATCGGAAATCGTTCTGCAAATGCGCATCTGCCAGGATGAAAAACTACTACCTCATCCACACGCTTCCGCACGAAGGATGCCGAAAGGCCCGAACGGATACGATGTCGAGCGTGTGCTCAGATGAGGCATGCGTACTGCGGAGAAACCCACCAGAGATCTGTCAATGTTCGGGTCTCCGTCGCCGCTGCGGTTCCCGTCTAATGGCACTTGGAAAATGTCGTTAAAACTGGAATCCATTTATTTTGGAGACGCATGGTTGCTTATGGAAATAGGATCTATCCTTCATGGCATGCACGTAAACAAATAACAATTTTGGTTTTGTCGTGGTCTTGTAGACTGCTTTAAAACCTTGATAAAACCTGTGCAACATTACAAGTTGTGATGAACAAACACTAACTTTAATATATGTAGCAGTATCGAAGCGTGTGAAGCAAAAACAGACATAGGTGCGAGTTTTTCAAAGTTAGTCTAGTACAATGGTTCTCAAACTTTCGTTAATTGTGATTCATTTCGAGAATAATTTCATAAGCTCCCGACCGGCCAATATAGAAGATAGACATTGTAAAGCCTAAATTACCTTTTACACGCTACTCAAATAGCTTTGAAATACCACCATAGCCTTGAAAGCTTTTAAAACGCATGGCCTGAAACACACACAGATAGTTTTAAAATGTCGAAAGTATGCCTTTTAAAATCGCAAAACAGCTTAGCAACGATAAAATAGCGCAAAAAAGCTTAAATCATTATAACAGAGCGGGTTACGCAGTCGAGAAGTTTTTACCTCACTACTCTTGGTTTTCATTGAACGAGAATAAGCACTCTCTCCCAACAGCGGTGAATGCTCAAAAGAAATACCACAAGTTCAAGGGAATCCCACATTTTAAAGACCTTTGAAAATCGGCTGGCATTAATTTAATAGTAAACTAATCACTTCTACTACATCTACAGTGGTGGTGGCCTTCAAATTAGCACATTAGGCCAATTTTCATACAAACTAGCCAACTTTGGCATGTTGCAACTATGTTTTGTTATGATCAATTGAGCTGAAATTTTGACATAGAACTACAAATATGCTGAATTTTGCGTGTACTTAATATTAAATTATTGGAAGCGCTTGCTGGAAATTGAGGAGCACATTTATAATTCGAAAGTTCCGAAGGGATATAGTTTTAAAATTTTCAAGCATATTCCCAATAAACGACGGCGTGCTTAGGAAAGTTATTTACGATATGGTCAAAAATTTCCGAAATAATAGAGTTCGGAAATTTTGAATGATAAATGTGCTAATAAGTTGGCCTTTTTCAACCAGCTCGTCAATTTCCGGCAAGCGCTTCCAATCAGGCCTGAATATACTCATTACAGAAAAAAATACTACTTTTCGTAATTATGAAACTATGAGATATAATAATAATAATTACGTACAAACAACGCGGGGAGAAACTAGAACGCTCTCTTAAGGAGCGTTCCAGGCAGTCTTTTGCAGCAATGCTAAAAACAGCCACACCATCAACCAACGACAAAAATCCCTTTGCTGTTTTGTCTGATGACGAGTCTGACTCTGACTTGGCTGAGGAGGGAGTTTCTTTCAGTTTTCCGGAAGGTTCTGCACGGAAACGAAAACGCATCCGTTCGCGGAAAGTTGCAGATAAGGAACCCCAAATCAGCTTGCCCAAATCAAGGAGTGATGGAAAAAAGGAAGTTTCAACTCCTCCTGGTTTCCGCCGAACTGACTATAACCAGAACTTTCCATCTCTCCCGGGGACATCAAAAACCCCTGATGGCCCATTTTTAAGAACAGAAGCCCCTTCTTCATCCGGGTTGTTCTCATTTGATAAAATTGTGGACGATATTCTCAAGTACCTCAATATTTCTGATCCTCTCAAAAGCATTGTTCTGGCAATGCTTCCTTCTGTGAAGACCCTCTTGAAGCAATTGACATTGAAGTGGCCCCTCATTGCAGCAATCATTTCCTTCGATGGATAATTTTCCAAACGAGGTCGGGGATTTGATCACTGTTCTACAGTGGAATTGTCGAAGTCTCATTCCTAAATTAGATTCTTTTAAGTTTTTAATTCACAATAATGATTGTGATGCATTTGCTGTTTGTGAAACTTGGCTCTCTTCAGATATCGATCTTCCTTTTTATGATTTTAACATTATTCGACTGGATCGTGAGGATTCGCGTGGAGGAGGGGTACTTTTGGGGATCAAAAAGTGCCATTCCTTCTATAGAGTGAATCTTCCACAATTTCCAAGTATTGAAGTTGTTGCATGTCAGGCTATTATTGAAGGTAAGAGCCTTTGTATTGCTTCTGTTTATATTCCTCCTAGAGCCGTTGTTAATCGCAAACAACTTTCAGATATCTGTTCGGTACTTCCTGCTCCACGGTTGATTATGGGAGATTTGAATTCCCACGGTACAGGCTGTGGGGAACTGTATGATGACAACCGTTCTACTTTGATATATGACCTCTGCGACAGCTTTAATATGACAATTCTTAACAATGGAGAAGTAACACGTTTGGCTGGCCCATCCTCGAATGGAAGTAGATTAGACCTCACACTTTGCTCTAACTCATTATCGTTGGATTGCACGTGGAATGTGATCCAAGATCCCCACGGTAGTGATCACTTGCCGATCAAAGTTTCAGTTGCCAGTGGGTTCAATCCGTCGGAACCCGTTAACGTCGCGTACGATCTTACCCGTAATATCGATTGGACAAAGTTCAAGAATGTGATAGAAGATGCCCTAACGTCGGTAGAAGGGCTTCCACCGTTGGAGGAATATAACTTCCTCTCCAATCTGATCTTGGACAGCGCGCTTCAAGCTCAAACTCGGCCGGTTCCAGGAACGTCTTTCCGTAGGAAACCTCCTTCCCCTTGGTGGGACCAGCAATGCACTGAGGTTTATCGTAAAAAGTCCGACGCGTTTAAGCTTTTCCGGAAACGTGGAACACCCGTACATTTCGAAGCGTACTCGGCTCTTGAACGCGAACTCAAGAGCCTCATCAAAGCCAAGAAACGCGGATACTGGCGGCAATTCGTGGACGGATTATCGCGCGAAACGTCGATGAATACGCTTTGGAATGCGGCGCGAAGGATGCGTAACCGGTCTTCAAACAACGAGAGCGAGGAGTACTCCGATAGTTGGATCCTCAAGTTCGCGCGAAAAGTATGTCCTGATTCTGTGCCGGCACAGATGATTCCTCGCGAAACGACGAATTCGGTAGACGAGATCAGCCAGCCTTTTTCAATGCTGGAGCTCTCACTTGCGCTCCTTTCGTGTGGCAACTCGGCTCCGGGGGCTGATAGAATCAAGTTCAACTTGTTGAAGAACCTCCCAGACGTCGCTAAGAGGCGCATGTTGAACTTGTTTGGTCAGTTCCTGGAGCTCAATATTGTTCCGGATGATTGGAGGCGGGTGAGAGTTATAGCCATTAAAAAGCCTGGAAAACCCGCGTCAGATCACAATTCGTATCGTCCCATAGCGATGTTATCGTGCATTCGAAAATTGATGGAGAAAATGATCCTTTTTCGTCTGGACAAATGGGTTGAGTTGAACCACCTACTCTCAGATACTCAATTTGGTTTCCGTAGGGGCAAGGGAACGAACGACTGTCTCGCGTTGCTTTCCACTGAAATTCAGTTGGCTTTTGCTAATAAAGAGCAAATGGCTTCTGTCTTCTTGGATATTAAGGGGGCTTTTGATTCAGTATCCGTTGAAGTCCTTTCAGACAAACTCCACGCTTGTGGCCTTTCTCCATTAATTAATAACTTTTTGTACAATTTGCTGTCAGAGAAACATATGAGCTTTTCTCATGGAAACTCTACAGCTTCACGATTTAGCTACATGGGTCTCCCCCAGGGCTCATGTTTAAGCCCCCTTCTGTATAATTTCTACGTCAGAGAAATTGACAATTGTCTAAGGGACAACTGCACGTTGAGACAACTTGCAGATGACGGAGTAGTGTCTATGACAGGACCCAGAGAGGCCGACCTGCAAGGACCCTTACAGGATACCTTAGACAATTTGTCTACTTGGGCTATCCAGCTAGGTATCGAATTCTCCACGGAGAAAACTGAGTTGGTCGTTTTTTCTAGGAAGCATAGCCCAGCACAACCAAAGCTTCAACTTTTGGGTAAACCGATCACTCATTCTATGTCCTTCAAATATCTTGGGGTCTGGTTCGATTCAAAATGCACCTGGAGATCCCACATTGAGTATCTGAAGCGGAAATGCCAACAAAGGATCAATTTTCTCCGAACAATTACCGGAACGTGGTGGGGAGCCCATCCGCAAGATCTTCTAACGTTGTACTGGACAACGATTTTATCGGTTTTAGAGTACGGTAGTTTTTGCTTCCAGTCGGCGGCTAAAACGCACATCATCAAACTGGAACGGATCCAGTATCGCTGTCTTCGTATCGCGTTAGGATGCATGCACTCGACTCATACGATGAGTCTCGAAGTGTTAGCGGGCATGTTGCCACTCTCTGATCGGTTTTCGGAATTATCCCTCAGGCTCCTCACCCGTTGTGAAATTATGAACCCACTGGTGATTGCCAACTTTGAGAAGCTTCTTGAGCTAAACCCTCAAACTCGTTTTATGTCATTGTACTACGTGTACATAACACAGGATGTCAGCCCTTCGCAGCATAATCCCTATCGTGTTTGCTTCTCCGACTTCGACAGTTCTGTTCATTTTGATTTATCAATGACGCAAGAGATTCGCGGAATCCCAGAGCATCATCGTTCCATGATTGCTCCGTCAATTTTCGCTGCAAAGTTTGGCCAAGTTGATTCCGCAAGATCGTTCTTCACAGATGGATCACTAATAGAGTCGTCCGCTGGTTTTGGTATTTTTAACGAATTTCATAGCGCCTCTCGAATGCTTCAAGCTCCTTGTTCCGTATATGTTGCTGAGCTGGCGGCAATACATTGTACGCTAGAAACGATCGCCTCACTTGCACCAGATCATTATTTTATTTTTACGGATAGTCTCAGTTC